GGCACAAAGTTAGATCTAGTGTACTATCATGGATTTTAGTGTTGTGAACACATCCACTATGTGCCCCTCCCAAAGCGTACCACCATTAAACATTAAGACTTTATGTATAGTGATCGGAAAGCCCAAAATCCCTAAATAGTGAAAAACATCCGGACAATTGTTTCCGTCACTGTACCTGTTCGCTAATATACCTGTTCGTCACTGTCGCGCTATGCGCCCCAAATGATAATGAAGGGATGCGACTGTTCGCGTGACTGAAATGACTGTCCTCATGACGAGCGCTATTTGCTCACGTCATCCTACGGACTAATCTTCTACAGTAGGATTCGACACTATCTATCGATAATCGACTTACAGAAATGCTAAGAATGAATTATATCACAATAAGAATGACTAGAACAAGACATACAAGGGAATATAACCTAATGGGTTGTACTTCCTAAGGCACAACCCTATATGGTCTATATATGTTTGACACACCCCCTAGACTGGATAGGGGCAGCGCCTGATGGAAGAGAAACGGCTCCGGGTGGCACTACTAGTCCAGCCTCTGAGGCAGGGGTCTAAAGACCAGTCAAACAAGTACAGACAAGGCAAGAGCAAGACCAGGGCGGCACTACTAGTCCAGCCACTGGGAAGAGGCCACAAGGCCAGTCAGGGTAATATATATAAAGGTCTGACCTAGCTGTACACAGTGCCGCTGATGATCTTTAGGCGCAAGCGCCTTAGTAAAGATATCAGCTGTGTTGGCACCTGAGGCCAAGTGAACTACACGAGCCTGGCGACGCTGCTGCAGCTCACGCAGGAGGAAGTACCGCAGCTGGATGTGCTTCGCGCTGCCCTCAAGTCGTGGCTCCTGACACAAGAGGATCATGGCCCTGTTGTCAGCGTACAGAACCGGGGTAGAGCTAGGCCGCTCACCCAAGTCGGTGAGCAAGAAGGTCAGCCAGCGCAGCTCCTGTGCCGCCATGGCACCTGCGTAGATCTCAGCCTCACAGCTAGACTGGGCAACAAACGAGGAACGGGTGGACCTCCACGAGATGGCACCTGCACCAAGGCTAAAGCAGTAGCCCTGGGAGGACCTGAGAGTTTCGGTGTCGTTTGCCCAAGAAGCGTCGGTGTGTCCGGTAAGGACCACTGGTCTACGTCCTCCTAGCACTAGCCCGATGCCTGATGTACTTGCTAGATAATGCAAAACCCTCTTAGCGGACGACCAGTGCTGTGGTCGGTGCCTGCCGGGAGTCACAAAGCGAGCCAGGATGCTGAGAGGGTATGCGAGATATGGACGAGTGCAAGTCATCAGGTACATGAGGCAACCCACCAGCTCTGCGTAGGGGCCACTAGGCTCTACAGTCTCCTCCGGGACTGGGGTAGAGAGTCTGTGGTCTACTGGCAGAGGGGTGGATTGTGCGGAAGAGAACTGAAGGCTGAACTGTTGAAGGACCTGGCGCACCAAGTGTGACTGTAAGAGAGTGATGGTGCGCGCTGCTCTGTCCCTGGAGATCTGTAAGCCAAGGTAACGGCGCATCTCTCCTAGGTCCGTGCAGGTAAGTCTCCACAGCAGCTCGGCCTTCACTGAGGCCAGCGCGTCTCTGTCTGCAGTAACAAAGACTAGGTCGTCTACGTAGACAAGGATGTAGAACGAGGTCTGGCCGAAACGGACAAAGAGCGAGGTGTCTGCAGACGAAGGGAAGAAATGCAAGTTAGCAAGTGTAGCACGCAACGTATCGTGCCACTCATGGGGCGCCTGTCGCATGCCGTAGACGGGACGCTGGAGGAGCCACTCGATGTCAGGGGGGATGGTACCGGAGAAGCCCTGGGGGTGGCGCAGGTAGACGTGCTCGTGTAGACTGCCCTGGAGGAAAGTCGAGGGAGTGCTGCTCGTAGTCACGCTGTGCTGCTACGTGTAGTAGTGCCCGAAGAGTAGTCATCTTCGGGGTCGGGGCGAAGGTCTGAAAGAAGTCCACCCCCTCATGCTGACTGAAGCCTTGAGCAACATAACACGCCTTCAAGACATGCGGCTCTCCAGGAGGGCGCTTCACCTTGAAGAGCTACCGGCCATTGACTACGTTCACCCCAGGTGGGGGACCTGCGTCGATGAAGGTACCGGTGGACCTCGAAGATGCCATCTCCTGCTCCATGGCAGCTATCCACAGAGAGGCCCAGGGTCCTGAGGTGGCCTCAGCGTAGGTGCGAGGGGTTGGGATGTCGAGGGCGTCTGGGTCAGCCTCAGGGACTAGTAGCATGGAATAGAGATGCGAAGCAACCTCAGACAGGAAAGCGAGCTCGAACTGCCTGTCCTCTAGGACGTCACAGCCAAGAGCAGCCACACCCCCGACGGCCGGAGGGCAGGCAGGGTCAGAGACAAGAGCGGTGGCATAGTCCAGGCGGCAGGTAGCGGCGAAGTCAGTGACAGCAGCGACAAGAGGACAGACGGGTTGGTAACGAAAGAGGCAAGGACACGAGGAACAAGGGGGTGCGCAGCACGGAGGAAGTCCGAGAACGGAGGTGGGGCTAAAGCAAGTGACGACGTGGGAGGAGACGGGAGGAGAGGAGGAGCACGAGACGTGTAAGAGCAAAGCAACATAGGGTGAGAACGCGGAATAGGGGAGTTAGGACGAGCACGAGACGGACGATGAGACCAGACGTGAGACTGAGGAGTCGGGTCAGGAGAGAGGGGAGGAGATACACGAGGAGAACGGGGTGGGAAACGAGCCAGAGAGGAGTCGGAGAGAGGAAACACGGGGCCATGGACCGGTAGAGGAGGAGGCGGCGGCAGTGGGGGAGGCAACGATGGGCGGTCAGAGGAAGGGAGACTGAGGAGGCGAAGAGCGGACACCAGTGGCGACGGCCGGGATTGAAGCCCAACTCCAACACCAGAACCTCCAGCGACAACACGGCGCCCTCCGAGAAGCCCCACGCCAGCACCCCCAGAGCCCGCTCCAGAACCAGCTCCAGCCCGCTCCCCATCACCCCCAGAACGCCAAACCCAAGTGGCGGTGACGACAACAGCTGCGACTGCGGCAGCAGCGGCGGAGGCGGCTGCGGCGGGACTGCAACGGCTGCAACAGGGGAGGGGAGACCGGGGCAGGGACAGGCGGGGGAAGAGACTCCGCCGAGCCACGAGAGTCAGCGGTCTCCTCGGCAGGGACAACCGACGGGAGGGGGGTGACGTGAGACACACTAGACGGGGCAGGGCGGGAAGGGGGGGGAACAGGGAACTGCAGGGGAGTGACCAAGGGACCACAGGGGGAAAAGCGGTGGTAGAAGGAGACGGACTCGTCAAAAGTGACGTCGCGAGACAGAAAGAAACGGTGAGAAGGCGGGTGGTAAAACTGCCAGTCAGACGAGTCGAGGGGGAAACCTACGAAGACACAATGGGCGGTGCGGGCAGTGAGCTTGTCCGTGCGAGAGGCACGAACGTGACGAAGGTAGCCCTAGACATGAAAAGCAGACGCGTCACCAGAAGACCCGGTCCAGAGGAGGGTCGGTGAAACCTGCGACCGCTGAGGGTGCGGTCACAAGTTAAGCTGGTGAGCGGCGTAGCGAACGTCGAACGGCCACCGAAAATGGGGTGCACTGGCATGGATCATGGAGGTATGAGCAACCTCCATGACCAAACCGATGCGTCGCTCAGTGACCCCATTCTGCTGCGGGGAGTCCGGTAGGGTGAACGTCTGGGTGATGCTCTCCGCACGACAGAAGCGACCAAGGTAGCCCGAGGCGAACTCGCCACCACGGTTTCGAGTGAAGACGCAAGACATGGAGACCTTGGTGAACACGCGCAGAGACAAGCCACGGCACGTCGGCCTTCCGCTCTAGGGGAAAGACGGTGGTGTAGCGTATGTAGTCATCGACAAGCACTAGGAAGTAGCGCTCCCGATGTGGCCCATGGACGAGGGTGGGGGCCCCAAACATCCATGCGTAGGGTCTGAGTGGTGCGGAGGTGGGGGGGAACAAGGAGGAGTGAGGGGCACACTGGAGCCGGCCCTCGACGCAAGGTGTGCACGGAGGCGCGGATGAGGAGGAGAGCACAGGGAACGACTCAGAGAGGCCTAGGACAAGACGATGCTGGGACATGTGACGGAGACGAGTGAGGGCGAGGTGACCTAGACGGTGGTGCCACAGAAGCGACGAATGAGCAAGCGACCGACACGAGCACGTTGCAGCAACTTGGGAAGACGCCAGTACCTGGAGAGGTGTCCCAACTGGGGGGGACGCGGTGTCCAGCGTGAATAGGCCAGACACCAGGTCCCGGGGGAACGTGGTGAGGGGGACACCAGTAGCGACCTCGGTACAGACAGCGTACCGCTCGTGCCTAGGGAACGTAGTGGTGACGCCAAGGTCCTGGAGGCAGCTGACACCAACTAGGTTCCTAGAGAACGACAGGAGGTGCAGGCCTGTAAGGGAGCCTGAGGGAACCGCCGGACAGGGGAGAGTAGTGGAGCTACGGGCAACTACAGGACCGCAAGACGGGTTTGCAAGAGCAACTGCAGTAGGAGCGGCAAGCGGCGTAAGTGTAGTGGAGTCGCGAAAGAAACTTTGGCAAGCGCCGGAGTCCAAGGTGAAGGAGAGTACGGCAGTGGCGACGGAGGTTGGAGGAGCGAGGGAGAACCCCATGCTAAACAAGGCAGGAGATCCTACGCCTGACGCAAAAGGGGAGCCTGAACTAGGCACACTAGGCACACTTAGGCTAGACAAAACAGGGTAATAGGAAACAATCACACTAGAGTCATCAACGTACAGTACATACAAAGCAGAGCTAATCTCATCCATGTCCATATCAAAGATCGTAACACCACGACAGAGCAGACTGTGCAAGTGGGGAAGGTCAGGCGACGGGCCGAAGCGAAGACGAAACAGGTCGTCCAGGCGACAAAAGCAACGAGTGGGGGTATGGCCAATCTTACCGCACACAAGGCCACGGCGAAGACCGGTCTGGAGCTTGTACTGGCAGTGCCCGTCATTCTGATTACGACCTGACGGCACGCCGCGTGAGCGACCACTACGACCACCGTCACCTCCAGCTCTAGGCCACCCGAGCAGGAGACGACCGACACACCGCTGTTGCTGCTGCTGCAACTGCGGCGGCTGCTGCTGCTAGTGCAACTGCGGCGGCTGCTGCTGTTGCTGCTGCTGTTGCTGCTGCTGCTGCTGCTGTTGCTGCTGCTGCTGGTCCAGCGACAGCACCCGCTGCTGCTCTAAGGCACCAGCCCCAGCCCCCTCGTCAGTACTACTAGCGGCCGAGCCACCTCCGCCTCTGGCACCACCCCCTCCTGAGCTACCTCCGCAGCGCCCAGCGTTGGGACGGCGACCCTTACCCAGACGAAAATGCACTACAACGGCTGTCTCCGCAGCCGGAGCTGTCTCAGCAACCGCAACAGAACCGTCGGAGTAAGCGCACTGAGCAGGGGCACAACCCTGAAAGATAGAGACCGGCATGGTACCGCTAGACTGGGCGATAGAGCGCCGATGAGTCTCTACGGCAGACAAGGTGTCAACAAAGTCAGTGAGGGTGAGGTCAACAGGGTGGAGACTAAGGAAGTGATTGTGGGCGGTGGCAAGGCGGTCACGGAGGCGGGTGGCAAGTAGGTAGAGGGTAGAGGAGATGGGAGGCTGAAACACACGAAGCTGGGCCTCAGTGCAGGCAGCAAGCTAGGTAGTGTCTAGCGTGCGCAGGTGGGCGACTAGGTCAGCGACAGAGGGGAAAGACGCAAGGTCAGGAAAGAATATGGGCAGAATCAAGCGACCTACAGAGGCAGAGGGCGGGGTGGAATAGCGCGCAACAACAGCCTCTAGGAACTCCTGCGCAGTCCTGACCGACCTAAAGCGGGGGCGCTCAGACAGGGGAAGGGCACGACTAATCGCATGCTGTGCGACCGCGTCACGCGACAACCAGACCGCACGGGCAAGGGCAGTAGCGCCAGCGGACTCATGGTCAGCAGACGTGGGGTCAGTGGTGAGGGCAGCAGGGGGGTCCGGGCAGGGGAGCGTACCGTCGATGTGGACGGCCACGAAGTGGCCGTCCTGCCGTTGACCAGTCAGGTGTCGTTGGAGGTCGACGAGCCACGAGTCGAACTCAATCGGCTGCCCCTCCGCATCAAATCGCAGGACCGAGTCCGCCATCATAACCGCTGCAGCAGCAGAAAGGCAGTACAGGGCAGTAGGGCGCGGTGATAAGCGGTGCAGAGCGGTGCTGTGCGGTGCAGTGCAGTGCAGTGCGGTGCAGTGCGGTGTAGAGCGGTGCAGTGCGGTGTAGAGTGGTGCCGGGCGGTGCAGCGCGGTGCAGGGGGCCGAGGACGGCGGCGAGGCGTCTAGGAGACGGCGCTGCGGGCGGCAAGGCGACGGGGCCGTCTAGGCAAGGGGGCCAGCAAGGGGTACGGGGCCGGCTGGGCGACGAGGTCGGCGAGGAGGCGGGGCCAGCTGGGAGGCGCCAGCGGACTCATGGTCAGCAGACGTGGGGTCAGTGGTGAGGGCAGCAGGGGGGTCCGGGCAGGGGAGCGTACCGTCGATGTGGACGGCCACGAAGTGGCCGTCCTGCCGTTGACCAGTCAGGTGTCGTTGGAGGTCGACGAGCCACGAGTCGAACTCAATCGGCTGCCCCTCCGCATCAAATCGCAGGACCGAGTCCGCCATCATAACCGCTGCAGCAGCAGAAAGGCAGTACAGGGCAGTAGGGCGCGGTGATAAGCGGTGCAGAGCGGTGCTGTGCGGTGCAGTGCAGTGCAGTGCGGTGCAGTGCGGTGTAGAGCGGTGCAGTGCGGTGTAGAGTGGTGCCGGGCGGTGCAGCGCGGTGCAGGGGGCCGAGGACGGCGGCGAGGCGTCTAGGAGACGGCGCTGCGGGCGGCAAGGCGACGGGGCCGTCTAGGCAAGGGGGCCAGCAAGGGGTACGGGGCCGGCTGGGCGACGAGGTCGGCGAGGAGGCGGGGCCAGCTGGGAGGCGGGGCCGCGGGGCCGCTAGGTGACGGGGCCGTGGGCCCGCTAGGGGACGGGGCCGCGGGGCCGCTAGGGGGCGGGGCAGCGGGGCCGCTAGGGGGCGGGGCCGCGGGGCCGCTAGGGGGCGGGGCCGCGGGGCTCTAGGGGTCGGGGCCGCAGGGCCGCTAGGGGTCGGGGCCGCGGGGCCGCTAGGGGACGGGGCCGCGGGGCCGCAAGGGGAGGGGGTCGCGGGGCCGCTAGGGGACGGGGCCGCCGGGCCGCTAGGGGGCGGGGCCGCGGGGCCGTTAGGGGACGGGGCCGCGGGGCCGCTAGGGGACGGGGCCGTGGGGTCGCTAGGGGATGGGGCCGCGGGACCGCGAGGGGACGGGGCCGCGGGGCCGCCAGGGGACGGGGCTGCTAGGGGACGGGGCCGTGGGGCCGCTAGGGGACGGGGCCGCGGGGCCGCTAGGGGACGGGGCCGCGGGGCCGCTAGGGGACGGGGCCGCGGGGCCGCCAGGTGACGGGGCCGCGGGGCCGCCAGGTGACGGGGCCGCGGGGCCGCTTGGGGACGGGGCCGCGGGGCTGCTAGGGGACGGGACCGCAGGGCCGCGGGGCCGCCTGGTGACGGGGCCGCGGGGCCGCTAGGGGACGGGGCCGTGGGGCCGCTAGGTGACGGGGCCGCGGGGCCGCTAGGTGACGGGGCCGCGGGGCCGGTAGGGGACGGGGCTGCGGGGCGACGAGGCGGCTAGGACCTAGGGTGGAAGCGCTAGTGGGGGGGGGGGGGGGGACCTACCTACTCATGATACCATTTTCAAATGAAAGTATGACTAGAACAAGATATACAAGGGAATATAACCTAATGGGTTGTACTCCCTAAGGCACAACCTTATATGGTCTACAGAAACATACAATATATGTTTGACAATGAATGCACAAGGAGTCCGAGGCAGTGCTGATCTTTGGATTTTCACTACTCTGAAATCTGGAATTTACGTTCCCCACTACTGTGAAAACCAGAGTGGTCCTCCTCACACATTTACCCTGAGGCATCAGGGTAACCCTACGTTTTGGAGTTTTTTACTCAGACAAGTCAGTGTTAAGATAGGTTAGGAAAAGAGCTAGGCATAGGAAAGTAGCGTGAGGTTTTAGGCTAGGAGGAAATGTCGAGAGAGAAGAGGGTTGGACTAGAAGAGTGGGATAGAACAAGGGGATTATACCCTCTACAGTTGGATCCAGTATATGCAATACACCTACCTAGCCTATACACATACATACATATAATATATATGTTGACACACCCCCTTGGCTTGGTAGGCGATACGCAGAGAATAGACCAGGGCAGTACTAGCCTGTCCACTGGTTTTAGTAGTAATGCAGGTCAAAAGAAAACACACCACGCACACAGCACACTAAGCCACATACCCCCTAAGCCTAGCCCCCCCATACTCAGCAGCAACGACGGCTTCTCCAGCATGGTCAACCCCTCGGCGTGCGAGGCGGCGACGTCGGCAGTAAGGGCAGCGGCTGCAACGGCGGCGACGGCGGCAGCGACGACAGCGGCGGCGGCGGCGGCGTGCGGTGGCGAGGCCAGCGGCACCAGCTGCGGCGGCGGCGGCGGAGCTCGCAGCACTCGGCAGCGTGGCCTGACTCCGCGACGGTGGGAAGGCCCGCGCGAGTTAGCCGTCAGCTGTGGGGAGGAAGAGGGGACGCATGGGAAGGGGGGCGGGGCTTCAGCAGCGGAGCCAGGGATCGTGCTGCCCCATGTGGCACGCTGGCTGCAGCGAGTGTGCTGGCCAGCGCTAAGATCGGGTGCTGGCCGCTGCCGTCCGTGCCGTCCGTGCGCTGGCGCGTCGACGCCGCCACGGCAGCACAATGGCGCTGTCACGGCAGCACGACATGGCCGTGGCAACGGTGCGGAAAGGACAGAAGGGAGGAGCGAACGTTGCGGAAGCGTGATGAGCAGGTCCGAGCAGACGGACCTGCTCTGAAACCATGTTAAGACAGGTTAGGATTAGAGCAAGGCATAGGAAAGAAGCGTGAGGTTTTAGGCTAGGAGGAAATATCGAGAGAGAAGAGGGTTTGACTAGACGAGAGAGGGATACAAGAAGGGGGTATACCCTCTACAGTAGGATCCAGGATATGCAGTACACCTACCTAGCCTATACACACACATATATATATATATACATATATATATATATGTTGACAGTCAGGGTGCCTTAATTTCACCCTCTTAATAGTGTGTGTTGTTAGAGACCGTGGATCTAGGGGGGCAAGTGCTCTTGCAATAAAATATAGCATTATATTCCTTCATTTACTCATCAGCATCATCAGCATCATGCCATACACACTAGTAGCAGTAGACAGTTTTGTTTTTTTACATTCGTAACTGCGGCAGCTGCAGAAACTTGTCACCTGATGCAATCTCACCCTGCGCTGCCGCCGCAGCAAGCAGCAGGACATTACCCACAGCAGCAACAGCGGTGGTGGCGATCCTGTCACACACACATAAGCAACGTGAGCAACAACCATGTCACTGGTTGTGTTAGCAGTGACGGCAATCTCATCTCGTCATTTGTAGCAACATGAGTGAAAAACGCGGCACTCGCAACTAACAATAGCAGTCTACGCGGAAATTCCATCACTTAGCAGCAACAGCTATGATCCCACTATGCACAGCAGTAGCAGCGGCGATCGTCCCATGGGCGGCAGTAGCTAACAGAATTGGCGTCACTCGTAGTAGCGGCAGCAGTGACGGAAATGGCGGCCACTCGTAGCATGTGATGTGGTGTGGTATGTTCTACTAGTATGCTAGCAGGGTTGTTAGGGCATCACACTTAGCGAGCGCCAGGGGCCTGGATTCTTCCCACCACTGACACCGTCATCGGGATCCACCGCGCTAGGCATGGCGGACCCTGGTAATGAGAGAGGGCGTTTGCTGAAAAAATGACTAAGGGGAGGAACAAAGATACGCGAATGCTGTGAGAGAGGCTAAAGTGGGGGAGTGGGGCTAGAGAGAGCTTGGAAAAAGGGAGGCGCGAGGAAAACATGTGTCCAATAGGGATCATGGAATCTGCCAACAAGGGCGAGACAGGCATCATGTGACATGAGCCAGCAGGGCGGTCCACGTGAATACGGCGGGAATATGGGGCCATGTATGTAGACAGGGGGTTACACGAAAATCCGGGGGTATATGACATGGGCCAGCTCGGCGGTCCGTGTGAACAAGGGGGCATGTATGGACAGGGGGGTACAAGAAAATCCGAGTGTATCCCCCTTACAGTAAACCCCTCAGGGTGGTACAAAAGAAAACCCAGGCTTATCAGAGAAAACGTATAATCTCAAAAATCTACCCAAAGGCATAAGGGTGGTACACAAAATCAACTCTGAAAATCAGAGAATCAGAGTAATTTACTCGTGAAAAATTGGCACTGGTCCGAGGTGGAGACCACATGATTGGGCACTCTTGAATGCACCTTCTCCTGGCCTGGCCCTTTCATACGCTGAAATGAGAAGCTGAGCCCCGTCAGAAGGACACAAACTAGTTTGCGGTGCAGATGAGGATGGTTCATGACGTTTCAATAGACGTCCGTCCCTGGCACACAACAGCAGCAGGCTGTGGTGGATGTGTGCGTGGCTGCATGGAGGTTCTCCTGCCCTTTTGTCTCAATTGCAATTGCCATTGCAACCGCTGATGGTCTTGACCCGAGGCCCAAGGGCCTTGGTTAAGATATTAGCAATATTGGCCTCTAATGTCAACATAAATTTGTATATGTTATAGGCTAGATAGGTGCATGCTCATAGAGAGTACAATTCCTTAGGAAAAAACAACCTTGTATCACTCTTTCTAATTCATTGCGTTATTCTGAGATGGCATCACGCTAGGTTAGGTCCTCCTCCCCACTTACGCTTCCGCCCCTAGCCCTATCCCTAGCCCGTGTCCTAGCCGCGTCCTAGCCGTGCCCTAGCCCTAGCTGCGTCCTAGCCGTGTCCCAGCCACGTCCTAGCCGTGCCCTAGCCCTAGCCGCGGCCGCGCCCTAGCTCTGTCCGCGCCGGCTCCGTAAATCGCGCCGGCCACGTTCGTTCGCACCAGCCCCGCTAGTTTGCGCTGGCCCCTCTTGTTCGCGCCGGCCCCGTCACTTCGCGCTGGCCACATCAGTTCGCGCCGGCCCCGTTGCTTCGCGCTGGCCCCATCAGTTCGCGCCGGCCCCGCTAGTTCACGCCGGCCCCGTCACTTCGCGCCAACCCCGTCACTTCGCGCCGACCCCGCTTTTTCGCGCCGGCCCCGCTAGTTCGCGCCGGCCCCGTCACTTCGCGCTGGCCCCGCTAGACCGCGCTGGCCCCGCTAGTCCGTGTCAGCCCTGCTCGCCCGTGCCGGCCCCGCCGGCCCTGCCATTTCGAGCCGGCCCTTGTTCGCGCCGGCCCTTGTTCGCGCTGGCCGCGGTGCCGCCGTGCTGCCGTGCTGCCGTACCGCCGTGACGCGGTGCCGCGGTGCTTCCGTGCTGCCGTGCCGCCGTGAACCCGTTCCGCGGTGCTGCGGTGCCACCGGCTGCTGTGCCGCCGTGTTGCCGTGCCGCCGTGACGCCGTGCCACCGGGCCGCCATGCTGCCATGCCGCCATGCCGCTGTACCGCTGTGTAGCCAAGTCGCCCTGCTGTCGTGCCGCCGTGCCGCCGTGTCGCCGTACCGCTGTGTCGCCATGCCGCCGTGCCGCTGTCAGCTGCTGCGGCCATGGTAATGGCGGACGCTGTGCTCCGCTTGGACGCGGAGGGTCGTGCGATCAACTTTGAGGCGTGGCTCGTCCACCGTCAGCTTACAGGTCAACGCCAGGACAGCTACTCCCTGGCCGTCCATGTCTACGGTAAGCTTCCCTGCCCCGCCGCGCCTCCTGCCCTCTCTGGCGCTCCCACGTTTGTTGACCGTGTGGCCTTTGCTGCTGCTGAGCTTGCCCGCGCTCTCTGGGAGTCGCGCGATACCGTAGCGCATCTTGGTATCAGTCACGCCCCCCCCTTGTCTGAAAGTCCCCGCTTTACTACTGTAGCAAATGCGAAGGAATACTTAGATCAGTCATCTCGCGCAATTCCACTCCCTCCTCCGCCTCAGCCCAACCGTCTGATCCTCCCCATGCTGTTTCCGGATCTCGCATCCTTCCCCACTGTCGCTGACCTTGCCACTCATCTGTGCACACTTGAGACTAGTTACCGCACTGCTAGCACTGAGGCCCACCTCACTGCATTCCCTCCTCCCCTCTGCGCTACCCTTTACCTCATTGCTTTCCTGATCGCCATGCCACTTCCTTAGTCAGCACCCAGGTGACCTCACCCTTCCTTCTCGCGACCACTTTCTTAGTTAGCACCGAGGTGACCTCACCCTTCTTGCCTTTGTCACCGCCTTGTCCGCGATAGAGACCCACCAGCGCACTATTGCTCAGTCTAGCGGTACACCGGCGGTCTCTATCTTCCAGGTCTGTGGCGGTCCCTATCTTCCAGGGCTGTGGCGGTCCCTATCTCCCTATCTTTGTGCTCACTCCCAGTGCACTTACTCTGATGTCTCTGCCGCTGTTGGTGAGACGGCCCCTACTGCTGAAACCGTTGTGGCGGCCTCAGCGCAGGCTCGTCAGGGTAGGGGACGTCGGGCCCAAAGGGGGCATGGCGGCGGGAGGGGTGGTATGGTTGGCGGAGGTGGCGGAGGTGGCGGAGGTGGCGGAGGTGGCAGAGGTGGCGGCAGTGGTGGAGGGGACGGTGGTGCAGACGAGGGGACCAAGGCTGATGCCCCGGTGCAGCAGCAGGAGTAGCAGCAGCAGCAGCCATGGGGACCCCGCCGCCGTGGTGGCCCGACGGCGCTGGTGGTGGTGGTCGTGGTGGTGGGCCGCGCAGCTCGATATCGAGTGGCAGCTCCAGTGTGGTCACCTGCCAGTACCAGCTTACGTCCGGCCCCCGCCGCGGCACCGTTTGCGACCGTCTCGATCACACCACCGCAAGTTGCTACCGCCGCCTCGACGACCTCTTCTGTCTCCGCTTCGGCCCCGCGTCGGACCCCCCCGACTGGTACAGCCTGGTGCGTCGCCGTGTGCCTATATTTGAGCTGGATATGGATCAGATTAGGTCTGCTATGTATGTCTTGTATGCTGATAAATCTAGTGTGACTGGACCCTATTACCCTGTGTTGCCTAGTGTAGGTGTGTCCACTGTGTGTAGCCTAGGTTCCCCTGCTGCGTCAGGCGTAGGACCACCTGCCTTGTATATAGCCTTGGCTCCACTCTAGCTCCTCCCCCCTCGGACGCCACCGCCATGCTCTCTTTCACGCTACACTCGGGTGCGTCTGCTTGCTTCTTTTGCGACCATACTGCACTCATGCCGCTTGCCACCCCTGCCGATGTAGCATTTGCTGACCCATCCTCAGGTCCGGTAGTCGCACGTACTGTAGCTCCACTACCCTTCCTTGTCCGGCGGTTCCCTCGGGCTCCCTTACAGGCTTGTACATCCCTTCGTTCTCCAAGAACCTAGTTGGTGTCGGCTGTCTTCACGACCTCGACGTCACCACTACGTTTCCTAGACACGAACGGTACACAATCTGCACCGAGGCGGCCACTGGCGTCCCTCTCACCACGTTCCCCTTGGACCCGATGTCTGGCCTGTTCACTAGAGGTACTGTGTCCCCCCACGCTGGGAGCGTCTCCCCAGGTGGTCGCGCCCTCCCAAATTGCTGCGGCTTGCTCGTGTCGGTCGCTCACCCATTACCGCGTAGGGTGCCCCGCACTCCCACGTCTGCGTCACATATCCCAGCACGGTCTTGTCTTAGGTCTAACTGCGTTGCTCTCTGCCCTCCCTCCCTTGTCTTCGCCGCCGTGCACGCCCTGCATCGAGGGCCGGCTGCGCCATGCCCCTCACTCCTCCTCGCTTCCCCCTACCACTGCGTCACTCCAGACCCTGCACCAGGACGTCTGGGGCCCAGCCCCCGTCCCTGGGCCACGTCAAGAGCGCTACTTTCTGGTGCTCGTCGACAACTATACGCGCTACACCACAGTGTTTCCCCTGTAGCAGAAGGCCGACGTGCCTGGCGTTCTTACTGTATCTCGTGGGTTGTATTTTTGCGAGTCCACCGTGGCCTCCCTATGCTGGGTCTTCACTCCGACCGTGGCAGTGAGTTCGCCACCGGTCAGCTTGGCCAGTTCTGTCGTGCGGAGGGCATAACCTAGTCATACACTCTGCCGGACTCCCCGCAGCAGAATGGGATCGCTGAGCGAAACATCGGTTTGGTCATGGAGGTGGCTCGTACCTCCAGGATCCATGCCGGTGCACCCAATTCTGTGTGGCCATTCACTGTTCGCTACACCACTCACAAAACTTAACCTGTGGCCACACTCCCAGCGGCAACAGGTTTTGCCGACCCTCCTCTGGACCATGTCCACTGGTGACGCATCTACGTTCCATGTCTGGGGCTGCCTCGTTCACGATCGTGCCTCTGACACGGACAAGCTCACTGCCTGCACTGTCCCCTGTGTCTTCCTTGGCTTCCCCCTAGACGCGTCTGACAGGCACTTTTAGCACCCGCCGTCTCACCGTTTCTTTCACTTTTGACGAGTCTGTCTCCTTCTACACCCTCTTTTCTCACCGAGATCTCCCAGTTTCCCTACCCCTGTTCCTGGTCCCCAATCCCCCGGTAGCCCCTGCTCCTCTCCCTCATTGTCCTGCCCCGTCTGGTGTATCTCACGTCACTCCCCTCTCGTCGGTCGTCACGGTGGAGGACTCGGCTAACTCTGGCGGCCTTGCGGCTCCAAGTTTGCTGCTTGTATCTACCCTAGTTGCTCCTCCTCCGCCACCACAGCCTCAACAGCCGTCGCTGCCGTAGCAGATGCCGCCGCAGCAGCACCCGCCACCGCCGCAGGGGTTCGTGAGCTCTGGGGGTGGGGGCGTTGAGGAAGGTGCTGGTTCTGGGGGTGCTGATTCTGGGGGTGCTCGTCCTGGGGGTACTGCTGTGGCTTATCCCGGCGGTCCTGGGGGTGGAGGTGTTGGCGTGGAGCGTCCCGGAGGTAGCCGTGGTACAGCTGGAGGTTCTGGTATTGGTGTGGAGCAGCAGCAGCAACAGTCGCCGCCGGTTTCCGCCCTTCGCCTCCTCGGTCTTCCTTCCTCCGACGGCCCACCTGTGCCTCCCCTGTCGCCGCCTCCCCCGCCTGTCTACGGCCCTGCGTTTCTTCCGCTGGACTCGTCCCTAGCTCGTTTCCCCCCTCGTTCTCCTCCTGTGACTCCTCCCTTGTCTCCTGATGACCCCCTCTCCCGCTGGTGGTCTCACCGTGCATCTCGAGCTCGTCCTGTCTCTCCTGTTCATCTCGAGCTCGTCCTGTCTCTCCTGTTCGCCATGGACGCGGAGATGACATCTTGGAGATCCACCGACACCTACATCAACGCAATTCCCCCACCTGGGGTGAACGTAGTCGATGGCCAATGGCTCTTCAAGGTGAAGCGCCCTCATGGAGAACTACCTGTGTTTTAGGCACGCCACATTGCTAGAGGCTTCAAACAGCACGAGGGTGTTGACTCCTTTCAGACCTTCACTCCGTCCCCGAAGATGACCACTCTTCGGGTGCTGCTACACGTAGCAGCACAGCGTGGCTATGACTTGCACTCCCTCGACTTCTCCACAACGTTTCTCGAGGGCAGTCGGCACAAGCAGGTCTACATGCGCTGTCCGCCCGGCTTCACCGGCACTTTCACCCCGGGGACCCAATGGCTCCTCCGGCACCCGGTTTACGGGCTGTGGCAGGCGCCCCGTAAGTGGCACGACACGCTTCGTGCTATGTTACCTGACCTGAAGTTCTTCCCTTCGTCTGCAGACCCTTCTCTCTTCGTTCGTTCTGGCCAGACCCTGTTCTTCATCCTTGTCTACGTAGACGACCTAGTCTTTGCTAGTGCAGACAGAGACGCACTGGCCTCTGGGAAGGCTGAGCTGCTGAGGAGACGCACCTGCACTAACCTAGGAGACCTGCACAACTACTTTGGCCTGCAGATATCCAGGGACAGAGCAGCGCACACCATCACTCTTCCACAGACACACTTGTTGCGCCAGGTCCTTCAGAGGTTCAGTCTTCAGTACTCCTCCGCACAGCCCACTCCTCTGCTAGTAGATTACAGGCTCTCGGCTCTAGTCTCTGAGGACTCTGTAGAGCCTAGTGATCCTTACGCAAAGCTGATGGGTTGCCTCATGTACCTGATGACTTGCACTCGTCCAGATCTCGCATACCCTCTCAGCATCCTGGCTTGCTTTGTGGCCACAGGTAGACACCGACCACAGGACTGGTCAACCGTAAGAGGGTTTTGCATTATCTAGCAAGTACATCAGGCATGGGTCTAGTGCTAGGAGGATGCAGGCCAGTAGTCCTTACAGGGCACACAGACGCTTCGTGGGCAGACGACGCTGAGACGCTCAGGTCCTCCCAGGGCTACTGCTTTAGCCTTGGTGCAGGCGCCATCTTGTGGAGGTCCACCCGCTCGTCGTCTGTTGCACAGTCTAGCTGTGAGGTTGAGATCTACGCTGGTGCCATGGCGGCACAGGAGCTCCTCTGGCTGAATTTTTTCCTCAGAGACTTAGGTGAGCGGCCTAGCTCTGCCCTGGCGAGAACAAAAACACCGAGAACATTGGAATCCGAAATTTTGATCTTGTACTCGACTTTCGCTCGTCCCGCCAAATCAAACGCGCGCTGATTGGTTGTTCTGACAGCATCCTCCCTGACACTGCACGCTCAGTGCCAATGTGGCATGCACATGGGCAATATTGTCCGGTATGCAATGAGATGAACAAAAGTGGGTATCTGACTCAAATGAAGGTGGTGAAACATGCACACTTGAATTCCAATAAAAAAATGCATATGCACATTCCGTAACTCATGCGTGTTTTTTTTTTTTTGCCTTTTATAACACCCAGCCCAAAATTTTGCTGCATTTTTATTATCACCATAGGGTGTTTTATACATGGTATGAGTGTCATAACATATATGCTAATGTCTTAAAGGCTAGATTGGTGCGTACCCTTAGAGAGTACAACCCCTTAGCACAAAAGCACCTTGTATCTCTCATTCTAGTCAACTTTCTACCTCAAGGATGGTATCTTGCACTAAGTTAGGTCCTCCCCGCCCACCCGCGCTTCAGCCCTAGTCCTAGCCCAAGCTGTCCGCCGCTAGCCGCCCGTACCTAGCTGCCCACAGCCGCCTGTCGCCTAGCGCCCGTTGGCCCCACGATCGCCAGCCCCACACCTGCTGGCCACGTGGTCACCAACCCTGTGCCTGCTAGCCCTGCGCCCGCCTTCCCCGCGCCTTCTGGCCCTGCATTTGCCTGCCCCGCACCCGCCCGCCCAGCGCCTGTTGGTGCAATCCTATGGCTTGCACTCGGCTTGTCGTCCTTGTTTGTGTGTGTGCATGCATGGCATGGAATGAATTGTGAGTCTATGTCAGTGCTATCTAGTGCTTGTGTGAATGTTTGAATGGTGTATCACAGTGTGGCTTGTGTCGGTCAAGACATTAGCGAGTTTTTACAACTCGCATGTCAAGTCGTCGTTTGTGTGTCGCATGTGTTTTTTCTATTTTGTCGAGTGTGAAGTGTCCATCGTGTCGCAGGCGTGTGCAGCAAGCCCCCATCAACTCAAGAAGAATTTATCTTGCAGATCCAAGAACAAGAGCTCAAGATTTCAAGCCCAAGGGACGCGGATAAATATTAAATAGTGAAAATAGTAACGTTACTTCGTGTAGTGTTACACTTCACTTGGGGTAGCCCCTTGGAGGGTTGGTTTCAAGACTCTTCATGGTTGGGGACTCTGTGGTGGTGTACCGCCA